GAGAGCGAGAGAGAGAGAGTCAGAGAGCCCGCCCAAGGGTGCAAGGGAAATCCGCTGTTCGTCGAGGGGGCTTCGTGGATAAACCGATTCGGCGGCGAGCGAGGGGGGGGGATGAGAAGGAGAAGGCCTTCTCAGAGCGCGGCGGGGCTTCTCGGGATCCCTCGCGCCTTCTGAGAAGCTTCCTGTGTCTTCGGGGGTGAGTCAGGAACTTATCAGAAGACTGGGCGACCTGTGAGCCTTCTGAGAAGACCCCTTCTCCCTTCTCACTTCCCCCCCTCGCTCGCCGCCGACCGATTGCGCACGCGACATAAGCTGAAACGGGTGGAAAACGAACCAGGCGAGAAGAAACAGGAAAGCACACAAGGGATAGTCGGAGGAGGAGGATAGAGGGTGTGCGGCAAGGCAGAGTCAGTGCGCTGGCGATGAGAGGAGTGCGCTACACGGTGCCAGCGCTTTCCAGGGAACGATGGTGTTACCAAGCATCTTCCTTGCCACCCTGTCCCCCTCCCTTCTCCTCGTTCAATCTTCTTCCCTCCCTCCCCATCCCTGCTTCCATCTCTCTCTCTCTCTCTTTTTCACTTCGCCCTCCTCCCACCACCGTCCACCCTCCTACGCGTCGCTCCATTCGCTCTACTCCTGTTTTTCTTCTCCGTGCGTTGCCCGTCGGTGGGCTGCCACGTGCCCTAGCCAGCAGATTGGCTCAACGCACCACATGAACCATGTTACACATCACGCGACCCTGCCAGGTAACTGAACACGGCGCAGCAGTTCGCCCCTCGGCGCAGTCGATTGGAACACCCACTGGCCGCCCACAGGCATGTAGTCTCATCCACACCTGCGCTGCAGAAAGCGACGCACCTGCGTTTGGCGCGCCGCCGCCGCCGTGGCCGCCTAGCCTGCCTCCACTCCCCTCCCTCCCCCTCCACCCTGTTCTCGCGGGCAACAAAACCGTGTGGAGATCGCCCGCGTGGTGACCTCGGAATCTCTGATGACCTCACCGCGCGGTCCCTCACCGCACGGTTCTGTGACCTTGGAGGCCCCCGTCGCCCGAGACGTCCTCGGAGAACGACCCGAGCCCCCAAATCGTGCGGCGACCCCGAATCCTCGCCGACTCACCACGCGGTGTGCCCGCCACACCGACTGCGGGCCCCCCATTTTTCGGGAGCGGCCAAGAGGGGGGTGTCCAAGAGGGGGGGGGTGCAAATCATGCCCGGCGGCATGTGCGCGTCCCAGCGGGGGGGCCAGGAACGTGATGGAATAAGAAGAGGCGCCATGAAATCTGGGGAAATATCATGGCCCACGCCATGATATCCACCCCCCCCTAGTCATCACCCCCCTCTTTTCCGCCCCCGAATTTTGAAGCCCCGGCACCGCTCCAGCCGGAGCAGGGCGAACGCGCGGTTGGAGCGCAGGATGGACCTCAGGTCGCGGGTGGCCTTCAGTCCCCGCCACTCCTCTGCGAGCCAGATGGCCTTGGACAGCCACTTCACCGACTCCTCCAGGCCAGGGCGAAGAGATCTTACACTTGGCGCTGCAACGATAGCATGTGACGTGGCGTGGCCGGCCCGCTTGTCACACGCTATCCTTAGCCTTGGTGATCACGTGCACAAAAGAGGCCCTGCCAGGGGGATGGCGTGACCAGAAGGGGCATTCGCAGGGGATCGCCTAACCGGGATACGCAGTATGCACGGCGGAAGCCTCATTTTGGGGGATAGCGTGCTTTTCGGAGATCGGTGTTGAAAGCTGTGTGACGGATACCGGGAACCCTGAACCCAAAAATGTTGTCATCTCTTGGAGGGCAACTTTGTACTTCCGCCGCCGTCCGCCAGCCTTCCGCCGGCGGCCGGCGGCTTCCGCCGGCGGAGGCGGCCTCGTTTTACTTCCGCCGACCTTCCGCCGCTGAAGAGATGACAACTCCTTCGATCCTAACGCGAAGGCAAGGTCATGTTTGGAACGCCTCCCTCGAAGGCAAGGCAAGGTCCTTCCTCGAAGGCAAGGTCCTTCCTCGAAGGCAAGGGCCTTCCTCGAAGGCAAGGGCCTTCCTCGAAGGCAAGGTCCTTCCTCGAAGGCAAGGTCCCGTGCGACGCCAGCCGTGAGCATCCGAGGCCCTCAATGCCCGCCCCGCCCCCGGGGCTGCTCGGCCGGCGAGTCCTCGAAGCTCCCCCGGGAGAAGGCCTCGTTGCCGTGCCTCTTCGCCTGCCCGGGGGGTGCGCCGCAGAGGGCGGGGAGCCATCACGGGCTTGAGCTCGGCGGCGGACGAGGGGGGGAAGCGAGAGGGGGCGGGCCTTCTCTGAAAGCTCGGAAGCCCCGCGCGGCCTTCCGGGGAGTTTTTGAGGTCTTCCCCGGAGACGCAGGGAACCTCTCAGAAGGCGCCAGGGCTTCTGAGCAGTCCCGCCGCCTTCCGAGAAGGCCTGCTCTTTCCCACTTCCCGCTCCCCCTGACCTTCCAGAGAGCTACTTTTTAGCACGGGAGGCCTAAAAACCTAAAAAACGAAACGGAACAGCCTCAAACCAAGACGTAGAATAGCTCTGGGATAGGTTTCTAAATCGCGTGCTATTTTTTAGCCCTCCAGGAAGGTCAGGGTCCCCCCCCCCTCGCTAGCCCGCCGATGAACGGCCTCGGCTGCCCCTCGACTCGCGCCCGGGCGTTCACCTCCGTGGGCCCTGGGAGCGACAGGGCCGTTTTCTTACTCGGCGTTCCGACATTGGGCGGATGGAGGGGGGGGAGGTGGCACGGTGGCATGAGACATGGTGTCTGTGCTCTGGATGCCGCATGCTGCTATATGCTGCATGCAAGAGGGAAGACGGCCCGCCTGCGCGGGGGGGCCGAAGGAGAAGTGGAGGGCGCCCTGCCAGGGCGCACGCTGCCGGTGTTCGGCAGCTCTGGACCTCTGCTTGATGCGACTGCTTACAACCGTGCGTCCTATGGGGGAGACGCCACCTGCTTCAAACGAGCGCCACAAACAGCCAACATCTATTCTATGGGGGGGTGGAGGGGGTGTGAGGGCCCGCGTCGATCGGTAAAACAATGAATAAGAAAACGATCATCGTCGATGCGGACACCGGCGACAAGACCGTTGTTTTACCGGTTCCGTTTTGCACTGTTTCTGGTTCCGGCGCCGTTGTCGTTTCCTGGTTCCGCCGCCGTGCTTTTTTGTCGGTTCGGGCTCCAATCCCAGAACAAATTTGTTTGTCGTTTCCGGGGACCGTTCTTTCTCATGTGAAACAACGCTCATGTTGCATGCAACAGATAACGGCCTTGCCGTTTCCGGGGTCAACGAAGGCGTCCACGACTTGCTCCAGGTAGTTATCCCTGGAGATCACTGAAGTTAGCTATAGAGCCGATCTAACTCTGCACGGGTTTCTTCCGACTTTCATCGACGTCTCGGGCTTCATCCCCGTAGGTCGAGTGGCGAGACGTCGCTGAGCCCTTGAGGAGGGAGGGGGGATAGCGCGTCATGGCCCCAGGCACGAAGGCGGACGATGGAAAGCAAGGCACGCACAGAGAGAAGAGGAGAGCGATGAAATCTGAGAGATTTGAAGGGGCCTGGGGACACGCAAAGAAGTATACACCAATCGAAGGGTTTTATTTATTTTCCCATACCTTCTGGATTTCTCGTCTTCCCCCTAAATTTCCCAATAGACGACTATTTGTGTCTGTGTGTATTCCCCTCCTGGTGGGGCTTCGGGCTGCGCGCAAGCAGCCCCGACAGGTAGCCCTGGCTGGCCTCAACACGTCCCCCCGAGTAGTCCCGGCTGGCCTCCACGGGCCTCCCGACTCGGGGCTGTCTCGGCACCCCAACTCCGGGGCGCGCGGAGCGCCTCAGGGGAGCCGCCCGAGGCGGCGCTGGTGACTTGAGACCGCCCCTGCTGAAGGGGCCCGAGGACACACAACTAAATACACACACAAATAAAAATATTCCCCCTATTTTCTCATATTTTCTGGGTTTCTGTCTTCCCCCCCTTCCCATATTTTCCAATATTTTCTGGGAAATCGACGATTAATTGTGTCTGTGTGTTTTTCCCCCTCCTGTTGAGGCCAGCCGGACGGCCCTGGAGCGATTTTTAACGATCCTGCGCCTGCCTGACGTGGCCCCAGTCATGACATCCACACGCACACACGCACACACGCACACACGCATACACGCACTCACGCCACAAACACAAACACACAAACACAAACACAAATACAAACCCAAACCCAAAGACACACCCACACCCAAACCCAAAACCAAACACAGAGACAAAGACAAACAAAGACAAAGACAAAGCCAAAGACAAAGCCAAAGCCAACGCCACAGCCGAAGCCAAAGACACAAACGAAGACAAACACAAACACAAACACAAACGCAAACACCCGCACACCCGCACACCCGCACACCCGCACACCCGCACACCCGCACACCCGCACACCCGCACACCCGCACACCCGCACACCCGCACACCCGCACACCGCACACCGCACACACCGCACACCCGCACACACACACGCACACCCGCACACACGCACACACGCACGCACACACGCACACGCACGCACACACGCACACACACACGCACACACGCACACACGCACACACGCACACACGCACACACGCGCACGCACACGCACACGCACACGCACGCACGCACACACATACTCACGCCCACAGGCACAGGCACAACACATGGCACCCACAGGCACACAACAGGGACACACAGGCACACACAGGGCACACGAACATGCACACTCAGGCACACACCGGCACCACACAGTCACAGACACACACACACAGACACACACGCACACACACACACACTCACACGCACACACACACGCACACGCACACGCACACGCACACGCACACGCACACGCACACACACACACACGCACACGCACACGCACACGCACACGCACACGCACACGCACACGCACACGCACACGCACACGAACACGCACACGCACACGCACACGCACACGCACGCCACACACACACACACACACACACACACACACACACA